TCCTTCATTTTTTAATGTTGAACTTGAATTATTGCCTGTGTCAAGCTGTTCTGAATTTTTCAGCTTGACCTTGTAGGTTATTTGAACTAGATGATGAGCCCACATTTCTCTACTTCTCAAATTTGTGTCCATCAGGCTGCATCATCTTCCTGGAACAGGACTGAAATGAAGTCTGTCTGGTTTGTAGTGTCTATCAGCCAAAACCCATGTCGCTGTCTTTGAGTTTGTATACGCTACCTCCGATGACTAAATTATTGAGAGCGCAGAAGTCTGTGAATAATTCTGCGTTCTCATTCTCCGACAGCCTCTCGGCCCATGATGAGTTAGTTCTCTTCCTGTATTATCTGCTCTCAGTTTAGCTAGCATTCATATCACCCATAATAATTCTGATGTCGCTAATAGGGCTGTTGTCCATTGCTGTTTGTAATTGTCTGTAAAAATCTTCTTTCTTCTCTTGTTCCACGTTGTTTGTAGCATTGTGCGTAGCATTACATGATAATTGCAACCTTTCTTATTTCTTTCAAAGTTGAGTTTTGCTGTCATTATCCTGGGAAAGACAGGTTGCCGACGCATAAGGGTATTGTCCACTGTTGGTAACATCATTATAGCCACTCACTACTTCAGTGTGCTCGTGCTTGTCAACTGCGTGACGGGCATAGATTACTGACTCCCCAGCTAACAATTCGGATAGTCTACATCAATTTTACCTGCTCTCGCAGATTCCTAGCGCTTCTGTACCACATCTCCTCATTTCTTTGGCTTCCTGGGCAGCCTTTCCAGCCTCGTATATTGTACGGACATTCCACGTCCCCATTCTAATTCTTGCTTTCATGGTGAGAAGAGCAATAATGCATAATCTGTATGGTTGCATACAGTTCAATTTAAAGTTAGCAATTGACAGCTTGAAAGTGATGAGGTTGAGAATATCACAAGTATTTAAATCTTCGAAAATAATAATAAATTCAGCCATCTGTTTTTATGCACTCAAAAATTCAAAAAGCTCACTTTTGGTATTAGCCAGGGATAATGTTCTTGAATAATAGACCATGTTTTGCCTGAGATAGCCAGATGGAAATCGGGTCTGTCAATCATGCGAATCGATAGTGCATATCGATTCTCAGCGGAACTTTTTTTCCTAGAATTGCTCAAACCATCCACTTGTTTTTGACCATTTTCGTATAAACATTTCTCGACATCTAATTCCGAAAACTTGTCTGTCACAGACAACCTAAAACCGTTGACACAACGAGCTAAAATAAATACCAATTCTTAAGTGACTGTATAAATTAGGAAATTATTTTAGTTTTAGAATTTTATATTCTACAACCAAAACTACAGAACTTTTATGACGAAAACTTAGTTTAGGCCAAAACTTATAGTTATCATTGTCATCAACTCATCTTTTAGAAACATTTTATATTTACAAGCGTTAGGCTTGTGGGGATACACACGAAGTATGCTCAGATGTGAAAAAGAAAAATTCACACTGACCTAGACTTTCACGTTTAACAAGAAAGTAAAAAATCTACACATCTTTTGCACAGAAGTTGAAGTTTTGTAAATGTGTGTTAAGTGCTTATCATTCATAACCTTGAAATATGCAACTCTAATGCACTGCAGTATAAATAACTCTTTACTTATAACAGAGCATTTAGGTATGATAGGAAGCAACAAAAAAGTATATAAACAAGCAGTTAACTATGAAGTCGAAGTAAAATTAAAACAATATTATAACATAAATGAAATTATTTGTTATTAGAGAAAAATATGTAATAAAACCAAAATAAAGAGAATGCAAACGCAGCATTGAGCACATTTTGGAAAAATCTAGAGACGGCATAATAACAAGGTCTGGGAAAGATTAATAGGTCTAAAGACTTCTTCTGTGCGCATGATTTTTGTACCATACTACATACTGTATTACTGATAGTTTAGAGGAGAAAATGAAGACAGATTTCAAGAAGTAGCCAGCTTGTGATTCCATAAATAACTGAGAAAGGTGTTTCTGGGTTATCCGAGTTCTATATCTCGATAAGATGTCTCTGTGACATTTTTCAGTTATTTTCGCCTCTAGTTTATCTGGTTAAGTTGACAAATATTTCTTCGTGTTTCTTGAAACTCCTTAGCGCGGGACTTATCCCACGTGGATAGTTGAAATTATGCACACCCATAGATTTGAACAGAAAAAGAACTTAATTTTTCTGGCTGGGAACGGAATTATACTATCTGTAAAGTGTTGGAAATTCTTATATCACTCACGCTGATCACGGTAGTAACATAAATTGCCACTGTATTCGATAAGCACTGAGAATAAGGTATTTATACACCCTGTCTTCGTCTTATGTATAAGAATACCTTCAAGAAACACTTTTGAAAACTGAAAATATCTTTATCTACTTATCACTTCCTCATTTTACTTACCATACACAACTGCTTTTAAGATACTCATTATGAGATGCTTTTGTCTTCCAAAAAACTTTCACTGACTCAGTTTCGCAAAACAGTGTTGTTAGTGAGTGGTTAACGTTTATTCGACGATTTACACCACATTGGATAAGTTAGCTTGGATTAATACATAAGGCTGAGATATAAATAAACACCACTACATGATAGCTATGTTTAATTAATGTTCATTTTAAAGCCACATAATAAATTGTCAACATCAATCATTCATATTTACATTTTTAATCGAAACATAACTCCAGGTATTTTGACAACATCAGTAATGACAAAACTGAGACGGATAATAAACTCCTTAAATTTGAATGATTGGTTAATCTTCATATTCAGTTAATCTCATTTGTAAAAAGCGTTCCAAATAAGAGATGTTCAAGTGACATAAACACGATTGTGTAAAACGATTCGATTTCGGGCTTAAAATTTTTGAATGTGAAAAAAACATAACTCGTGAAACTACCAAACTATGGCTAAAGTTATCATGAAATAGTATGGGAAAGATCACTTCTGTTTAGTAAATAGCAATGATGAGACTTGCTTCATATATTCAGTTTATTCACTAGTGAACCTGTTTTAATTTTTGAATCCTTATTAAACAAGACTGCATAAAGACTGCAGTTTAAAGTCTAGTAGAGATCTGCTAGAACCATCCTGCTACCCTGCTTTCCACCCATCATAATCCATAAAATTTACTGCACTTCCTACTGTTTACGCAGCCCGTTTAGGTCTTTGAATAGTAGTTTTTACAAACGCGTATTTTTAAATACCTTTAAATATACCACTATACCACTATGCATCGTTTAAGGGAACAGTATCGTGGAAAGGGAACAAATTATGCTTGAGATGGAACAATAACGTGCCAAATGGTATGCTGTCAGTAATTATTTCAGTTACAAATTCTACACGATAAGTATTTTACACTAAAAGACACTACAAATTCTGCATTGCACATAAGCATACCATCCAGAAAAATTCTCATCAATAATATCACATTACTGCTGCTTTTCATCTATTATTTGACGTATGTAGGAAACGAGTTTATTTTCTGTGTCTTGAATTAACTTTGAGTATATCAGAATAAAGTCATTCATCCTCTTCATAAATTGACTTTTCCCATATACTGAAAAAGTATACTTTCGTTTGCACAAAACATTATTCCTGTGAATGAAACAGATATTATATTGGTGTGATACAGGCAATGTGTTCCAACGGAATATGATTCTCACATATTTCCACATTTCAATTCGGTATTAAAAACAGAATACGATATATCCATTTGAACATTCTATTTCATGTCGTTTAATGTAAACCAAAATCACACGCTCAGTGATCGGTTAACGAATATAAACTGTATATAAATATAAACAGCTGTTTGATTAATGAAAAATCTACCTTTGCTTCCGTGTCTCTTGTCTAATATCGTTACAATATGATTTCATTGATATTGACTTAAAGCTCTACATTAAATTGGCTCTTCTTCTATATAAGTATTCACCGGGAATATGAATTTCAATTCATGTCGAAAGACAAATTCTTTATTGCGTGTACCTCTTAATAACGTTACTTCCTCTTTGTGATTAAACAGCAAACGCTAATAGATAGTTAGTTATTGATTCATCTAGATATTAATTTTCACAAAACTATAAGTTAAATAAACGTCTACTACCTATGGTTTTTTGTACAATGAGTAAATAGATGTTCAACCAGTCAAAAAAAGTATCTCACGTACTCATTAACATCTTTCGGGATTCTCAAGTGGTTGAAGGAGAATTTGCTTTTTATACGCCCAATAATTGGTAGTTTTGTTGTCAATTTGTGATCAGTTTTAGTTGAATCTCGTTTCACTTGTACGTTGGTAGTTGCAACTTCAGTGACTGGTTTATGGAGATCTTCTGCATAATGAAATTGCACTAAGGAGTTTATTAGTTCATCAGGGAAGTTATTATTATCTCCTGTATTTGTCGTATTTTTATTTACATTAACAGTGGCTGTAAATGGTAAGCCATCTCCTCTTATATTTACTGGTTGATTCTCAGTTGAACCCTCCGACGGAAAATCACTGCATGGAAAAGAAGCTGGAGGAGGTCTAGCGGTTACAATCACAACCCGATCCAGTTCGTCAATCATCTCACAGTCTCGAGCAACAGAAAGGGACGTCAGCATATGATCACCTGAAAGAAACATTTGAAAAATGTTTAAAATACGCGAAAATGTGCTTATTTTTAACATTGATCATTTAGTCACTTACTTCTATGAAGATTTAAAAGTACCAGTCTCAAGAAAAGTAAACCATCCTTCTAAAGGAATATTTAGAAGTTCTGTAACTAAATGACACAGCATATGTAACAAAAGATACAGACATATCTCAAGAGGACTTATTTTTTGCTAGAAGCACAGAAACATTTTGACTGAAGAAAAACTGGATAAACTATATCATTTTTATAAAGAAAATTTACCCAGTCACAAGAATTAGTGGTACTTCACTAGCTCAGTTGAGGGATTTTAACTACAAATTCCTGAAAGGTTGTAACAACTGAAGTGTGACTTCTAAAAAGTCTGACTAATCAGTTTATTTAGTTGAGGCAGCTTATCAAATTGAAATATTTTCGATCGACTAAACTTATACTGGTAGGCTACCAATAATTCCAAAGTAAGTGAATGGAATAACCTCACGTTTGCAAAGCTATCATAATTCTGCAACAACTTCCAGTCAGAAATTTGATAGAATAAAACTACCATTTTATTAACCAAAAGTTAAAATTAAATGAATTTCAAATGCATTTCACTTTCAAAATGTCTACGCTATTTACACATTTTTTTAAAATTGGAACATAATGTTGGCTGTAGTGTTACTCTTACTATATAACTTTAACCAATTTTCTGTTGTTTTTGATGAAATCCCAATTGTTTCACACCATTTAGAAATATAAGTTTGGTTATTCTATTATTACCCGAATTCTTAGTCAAATTATGTCAGTCTTCTTCATTATATCTAAATTGTGGCAACTAAGCGTCCAACAGCCCACTATTTTACCTGATAACAATTTACTTCAATGTAATCAATTTCATGTTTTCCTCAGCTTACGACAACAATTATGTAAATTTATTAATGGTCACATGCCTCCACTAACCATTTTACAATTGCCTAACACGGTCGATCGGTCGGTTTTCGACATAGAACTTTGCACTGATTTGCGGCAGTTCAAGTCGCCACACTTCATGTAGCACACAAAGCAAGAGAAGAAAGTAGGAGAAATGCATAGTATAGACAGTAAACAGAGGTGTGAGACAAAGGAATAGTAATAACGAAGAACAAAACAGTTTAACTGGAAATCATAAGTCACAAGAAATGGATGTATCTGCGCCACTGAGCACGATTTTGAGCCATGTCACCAATTGTCTCCAACCATTGGTTTTTACCGTCCCTAGGACCCCAACCAGGAAGTCTACATCTTCCTACGTGGCTTAAGCTAACTGTTGTGGATTTCATTGACTGGTGCCATGTTTTGGTTTGACCGCCGCTAGCTTTTTTCCAGCCTGACCGTATATCAGCTAACATTGCCCGTCGAGGAAGGCGATGACTAGGCTAACACACAGTGTTACGACTCAGTTTCGTAGTTTTTGCATATGCGTTGAACTCGAATTATAAACCGTGAGGTGTGCTCATCTTATAGGGTATTACACAATCTTTTCACACTTCAAAAAGAAAATTCTAAAGAACATAGAGTAAAACTTAATCACCCCATAAAGTCTAGCCAATATCAGCTAACAACAGGTATGTAACGCAGCTATGCCACAAAATACGCATATTATATCATTATTTCAGTGAATGTTTGAAAAACAGAAGAAATCGACCTGATTACACCAGTTCTCTTAATTTATATTCTTTTTAGTTAAGAAAATAATTGCATCGTCAAAGTTTCAAGAAGTAAACTAACCTGTCACCATAACTGGACGTATATTAGCTTGTCGTAAAATTTTGATTACTGGGCCAGATTCAGGCTTAAGACGGTTTTCCATTACGAGAAAACCGAGAAATAAAAGGTTATTCTCGACTCTATCACGCGATAATCGTAGGATTCGCAAATAAGATGATTTAATCGGACGCCAAGCCAGTGCCAGTACGCGGAATCCTTCTCGAGTATATTCCAGTAGGTTTGAGTGGAAATTTGCAGGAACTAAAATAGAAAAGTCATTTTAAGAACTCAACTTGCACATCCTCTGAATATATATGTATATTTATACATTCAGTAATCTACAGTATAACAAATTAAAAGATTATCGTAGGTATTCAACATTTTCTTAGGATGTTAGAATTTGATTTTCAAGTATGAACAGACAGAATCATAAACTGTTCTCAGTAAGGATATATACTGATGATATAGCAACAAAACTATCAATCTTCCAAACATATATGAACATTTCTCTTATTTTCATTAAGATATCCCCATTATGCTAGTTATGGAATACAATTTAAGCAAATACGTGTTCTTGATAATTTCTCATCAGGTTTCATAACTGCATACAAAAATATTCATCACATGCATTTGACACCAATGTGGGTAATACAGTTAAAGTTCAGGCATGTGAATTAGTGGATAACAGTCGAAGTGATGATCATTAATAACAAGGATAAATTCAAACAAGTATTTGTACAATCTAGATGGTCAATTATTGTGAATGTGCAAGTGGCATGTAACAAAGTTAGAATTTATGGGTTACTGCATTCTGGTCCAAGTGGTTGAGTGGTCAACGAGTTTGGCCCCGTAACTTGCAGACACCAGGTTTGATGCCTGATGGGGTTGTAGATGCGCACTTCTGAAGATTGTTTAGCTAGGGAGAAACAGCCACCCAGTACTCTCTGGTTTTCAACTATCTCTCTCGCTGATTTTGGTTCTCAACGAAATCTGACAGTCAAAATTAAATTAATGCAAATCTCCACAAATACCATGGTCTAGAGTGTGTATACTTGTAGGGGTAGATGGGAAAATAACTACTGTCTCATAGCCATTAGATAATAGAATGTTTGGTTTCATAATAAGTTGTGAAGCTACGATTAAAATATGCAACCATAGCATAGTATTATATTGATAATAATGATAAAGTTAGCAATACAGATAAAGATAAAATTTACAGCTATGCGGTTTCACCGGGAAAGATAAATATTCTACGCTGGGAGTTGAAGGTCATGGTAGGGAGAGGGTCTGCAAAAACTTTCTTCTGAACACATAAACTGGGTTGAAGATTTTTTGTCGCAACTGAGTCAGCTGTGCTTAGCAATCGAAGGCGTGCAGGCTCAGAGAATTGAGTTGGCATCTTGTGTAGAATTATAAAGGCCGAATTTTTATAAACCTTGCGCTCACTATCCACTAGGTGTGCCAATACGAGACTTCTGATTGACTTTCAAATGTCTACGATTCACACTTTATCATTTGTTTGTAATATCTGATGGGAAATTACCGAAAATACGTATTTGCTTATATTGTATTCAGTTATTCTCATCTGTGTTACTTTTTAAACTACTGTCTATGGAAATGGCAAATGCCTAGAACGATGTGAGATGCTGTCAAAAAATGTCAACATCCAATAACCAACACGCTGTCGCATTTTCGAATAATTTATAATCTAAGAAAAAAATTATCACTGAATTGGAAATAAAAGAATTCTGGTTGTATCATTAGTTATAAGACAGCATTCAAACGTCAGTACTACTCGAAAAACACGTATTTGGTTAAAGTAGTCAAGATAATTATTTAACAATTTGAAACAAATTATTTTGACTGTCGTTGGAGCAGCATTCTCGCATTATTATTATTATTATTATTATTATTATTATTATTATTATTCACTAAAATATTTAAGCCAATGGAAACGAAAAGGCTTGTACCAAACATAATGTTCTACAAATCAGTCTAAAATAATCAAAATGTAAACGGAAGACTGAAAAACAGAAATGTTAGTCAATATAACGAGATTTATATGCTGCACAATTTCTTCAAGGTTCTATTTAGATTACCGTAAGCGCTGCAGTAAATTCACTCTGAGACTTATGTTAATTTATTACTGGAATTCATTAATGCTCAGATAAGCACACAGCAATCGATATGAATCTGATGCTTCTCAAGGATTACTTCTTCACATTTAATGTCATTTTTTGCTGCTAACGATATATGATTTGAGGTTAAATAAGTGAAGAGGGGCTACAAATAGTTTAGGATTACAGAATACAGATTTGTTGGAAATAAAATAAGTGCAGTTTGTGACTACACTCCTAATGTTAGGCAGACAGATTACTGTTTCTCACTTGATCAGTTTAAATGCAAGATTAGCGCGTCTGAAAATAGTATAATTCAGACAAACTAAACAACAAGAACTGATAGCTTTGGGCTGCGGTTAATGCTTACACTTATTTAAATAATCTCAAAAGCAACTATTTCAACATCAAAGAAATAATTTACTTGTATCACGTCGACATAAAACTTCAATTGTTTCTGGAGCGCCCTTGGTATATACATGAAATTGAGATTCATTTAGTGTTCGTGTTATTACAGACATCCGTTGTAGAGAAGAACTGAAAGGAAATTGACGGATAATTCCTATTTCATAGGGCATTTCCTGAAATAAAAGCGTGAATGAGACAGTGATTGAATATGCACCTAAGGTTATAAATATATATTTAGACACTCTTAACTGTACACCATTATGACCATTCAGTAGTGAAACCTAAATGTAAATAGAGCGTCAATTAATCTGGAAAGAAGCAGGATCAGTTCTGACGAAAGTATTTATCGTTATTGATATAAGGATAAAACGTGGACATTGTGGTAGAGTATAACTCCATTATGGATAAGATTTTAATTTTGATAAATCACACAGTGCTACACAGTAATATTAACTGATGACGTTTCGAGCGCAAACTATTGCTATTATGAGCAAACGTCATCAGTTAATATTACTGTACAACACTGTGTGATTTATCAAAATGAAATCTTATCCATAATGGAGTTTTACTTCACCGCGGTTCCCAAGTTTTATACTTATATCAATGAGTAAAAATTGACTAGACATTTGAATAAAAATCAATATAAGATAAAGTGCATTCACAAATAGTATTATTGTTATCAATAAAATACAATAAGATGGGAAATCAGATGTTTTTCATAGTAAAATAAGTAACTTGTTAGAATGTGAACTGAATACATTTTAACATTTTTAGAATGACTGATCCCACTAAGATAAGTAATTTAGAAAAAAAATCAGCAATAGTACTGCATGCATTAACATACAACCACACAATACGGTGGGACAGAATCGAAATTCTGAGAAGGACCATAGTTAGATAGCGAGAGATATTGATTACTGAATACTGGTTCATCGAGTCTACACCCAACACATGCAATAGAAGTGACTAAAAGCAAATACCAGGGAAATGAAAGATATTATAACCAGTCAAATCAGAGGATAATAAATAATGTTAAAGTGTATTCAATTCACATTATAACATTCTAACAAGTTATTTATTTTACTATAAAAAAAACATCTGATTTCTCATCTTATTGTATTTTATTGATAACACTAATATTATTCCCGAATGTTCTCTATCTTATATTGATTTTATTCAGATCTCTAATCAATTTTTACTCAAGTGTATAAATGAAGCAAGAAAGTTGTGGGAGTACCTTGATATGATTATGAACAATAATTTTTGCTTGAAACGTTGTCATCAGTAAATATTACTGCACTAGCCACTCACCTGACACCTTTCATAACCTTGAACTGACTTGTCAATTTTCCTACCCCACACTCTAGAAATCTATTATGACCAATAACCACCACTGTCTCCTATTTTACAATATTTTGTAATCGATTTCAGCCTAGCACTTTTGTCACAAAAATATGACTATATATTCTGACACCCCATAACTAATCTGTTATTCTACGTAAAAAAATGTATCCACCGCATAACTGGCCATTATTGTAACGACAACAAATATTATATTTTATAATTGTTAGAACCTGAAGAAAAATTATTGAAAAGAATATTCTTCGTTCACTTTGACTTTTAACTCATGATAAGGGAATATTTCACACTATTGAATCTTATTACTGTATAACACTGTGTGATTTTTTCAAAAAAATAAAATTTTATCCATGATGAAATTATTTATCGTTACTTCAGGAAAAACTACACTTTATATTTAGCACAAATCTAATCAGTAATTCAATTTTAAACATATTTAGGAAGTTAACTAAATGTAACAAAACAAGTACAAATCTTCTGTGTAAACAGGGAACTTATTTTGCAGCACTTTCAAATATCGTAAAAATTCCTTGAGGACATTCCACTGAACTGTTGTGAGGGATTTCATAACCAGCTGCCTCTTAAACATACTTTGGCACTAATTAAACAGTAAATGGAAGGAGAAATTCATTCTAATTTTTTATGCTGGAACCGATGCTAGTTCATTTGCTGCAGAAATCAGACGAATACGTGTAGAAAGATTTTTAAGTAATATCCTATTTAAGTTAGTCAACAGGATCAAGCATAATTTAAAGCTGCATCTATCTGAATGCAGCTATCTATGAAGGTATATCAGCTAATCGAAAAATAAACCAAAACAGCTTTCATCTTGATGATGTTTAAGATCAGAATTAAACATGTTTTCATCTGTCATTCAGAAATTTTTGTATAGATTATTATGCATTTCAATGAATGTGAATAAAACTCTTCAGACGTTTGGCCGGCTTTAATAAAAAAGCTGCTAAACATAAATCACAAGACAGGAAATCATCATTTGAAAATGAACGTTTAGTTATCTGGAATATACAATAAGCAGACAAGTGATCGAAATTATGTTACTTAGATTGAGATGGCTTAATAGTCCACTGGTCTTGTTATCTACTTCATTAGCTATATCTTAGGGAGGATTTTCTTTTGAAATGCGTAGTTAGTAAACACATTCTCTGACTGCTTATCAAGAATGTTGACATTAAAGAACCATGAGAATGTCAGAGGAAATGTGAAACGTCTTAAAAGTTAGGGGACAGGAATTATAGTTGAATAAAACCCCAAGATAGTATGCCTATCCTTCTATAATTAACAACAATTATTTCCATAATTTTATTTCGAAATAGCTAACTATAACAAATACTAGAGTCTAACAGGAGCAAGCTGATTCAAAGTCACATTAGAGTTAAATTTTTATTATAGTAACAACAACTGAGATGTTACAACTGAGCACTTGTTAATGAGCTATACCATGATTAAAAAGTCAAAGACTGGCCGGTTTGAAGAAAGTATCTTATGTATCAGTGTGTATCATGGATGCATAGATTCAAAGGCTGAGACCAAAGTCTTTTAATAAATATTAAATCATGTGTCAGACTGAAAAATTCATCTAACTATATAAGGCGGCATATATAGTGGTTTAAAAGTGATAAATTTTAACTAAATTTTTTTTTGTGAAGTTGAGTTTGTACTCAAATTATGAAATCAATGATAAAAACACGTTTTGAATAAAAAAACAAGGAAAATGATGCCACCTTAATGAAGCAAAACATTTGGTGATATTAGCTGGTTGGAGGCATTCGACAAGCAGCCTTGGACCCAGGTTTCGTGCTAGTTGGCACTCATCAGTAATGCGTATCTGCAACCTTGAAGGAACCAATATCCTTCCTGAGATTCGAACCCGTGTCACCCAGTGCTGCGGTCAGAGACATTACCACTGGGCTATTTGGGTTCGCGATTGACCTCCTGTAGGACTGTACTGGGTACTTTCATTGGACATTAATAATTGGTGTTATGTGTCTAGTCCTTTCTTTGGTGCAGAAGCGGGTTCGAATCTCAGAAGGGACATGAGTTCCTTCAAGGTTGCAGATACGCCTTGCTGACAAGTGACGACTAGCACGAAACCTAGGTCTAAGACTTCCTGCCGATTGTCTCCAATCATCTAATATCATCAAATCAATGTACACTGTGATGGCGAGCTACCTGCAATGATGGCCACATTGCAAACCTGACTGACAGAATTCAGTCTGCGCCAAAGAGAGGACTAGAAACACCACACTAGTTACTAGTGTCCAATCAAAACAAAACATTGGTAAAAACATGACGAATTATAACCCTAATTCAGTTTACTAGACTCAAACGCCACAAGTAGGGTTGTTATCTTTTGATTTCTATTAACAAGAATGCCTAAAGGATAGTGATCTCAGGTAAGAAAAGTAAACTGAGATGTTAAACAGTGGCATCCCCTAAGAGAGCCTGGGATAAGAATACAATATAAATGAAAATAACAAAGAACCAGTGAGAAAAACTAAAAAGTATTAGATATGCACAAAGTGATAGTGCTGTACAGTGCCCAGACGATCAGGGGTAATCCATGTGTTTATAGCTAAATTAACATTTACTTTACAAGAAAGATAATCTACGAACGGAATAAGAAAACTTGGAAAATCGAGTAAACATGGAAGTAGAGAATGAAAACAGGACTGAAAAGCCGTTAACTTCTGATTGCCTCAATGTTATTCCAAAATTTCCAGCAACTTATTTGAAGAATTACTAAACGTTTTTCTACTTCTAGATTTTGCGTGTATTTGGTTATAACTACGCAAAGGGATGTATAGTTTTGGTACTCACCACCGGCATGTATAGATTTCATAGGTGCTATTTCAGAAGTAATCCATATCACATTCACTGAGGATTAAAACAGTTACAATGATCACCGATGAAACAATCAAAAAGTATTCTTATCTAATTGTGACTCAGAAATTTAAGTGAAGAAGGCACAGAAGTCTTGAATATTTCACATAAAGCTAATAAATATTGGATTTGTTAAATTCAGTCAAAACTACATATTACTGATTGGCTGATATGAGTAGTAGCTGCTAACGGTTTATGCATGGTTAATATGCAAAGTTCGGTACACTGATACAATGGATCGTGTTTAGAAGTTTGTCGAATACGCTAAACGTAACATCCATTAGTGGAACAACCTCATTAATGACAAAAAAACCATGTAGTTTCATTTATACAAAACTCACTTCGAATAAATCACCTTCTGTATCTTTGGGGCGAACGATTGCAGATACAACTTGATCAAACTTGTGTTGATCTTCTGACACAACTTCCAAAAATTCCTACGAATAAAAGGATAAAGTCGAAGAATGCATATTAACTGCCCGATAATACCGTTCATAGATCTATTATTATAATATGATGTATCCCTTTCAATTAAAAACAGAAAACATCAGTTCATAATATCACAGAAATTAACCAATTTTTGTTTTGCATACAAGAACGGACTATTGAGGGTTTTGAAAATTAATTGTCCATATCTTTTAGAGGAGTAATTCAAACCCCCTGAAGAGAATATAATTTTAGCAATAGTAACACGTAGGCGCCCAATGCTTTACAACAACCTAAAAACAAGATCTCTCAAATTTCTTATCATATAAATCCCTTTTACGGCTGTGGATCTAGGTTGTTCAGTAGTAGTCTTCACCGTAAGTGTTACAAGGAATTTAAACACACTGTTGATATTTTTCTCACAAAGCTATAAGCCTATTTCTCCAAGGTAATTTACGAGATGCAAAGTTATCCACGAAATCTGTTAATATTCACCGTCTTTTCATTGTTAGATCTTTAACTCTTTGAAGAGGGAAAATGCTGTCTTTACGGTAAAATGGCCTCTTCAACCTTTCAGAATTTCCTCCTACTTCGTCCCTCTTTTTTATTCAACTGTTATGGAACACTCATTTTTCGTTGTTTCCCTGTACATTCTGGTAAGATTTCATTCAGTTGACATTCCATGTTACACAAACAATGATAGAGACTTCATTCATATCGAATAAATATGGACGCATCAGTTTCTTTTTTTAAGGTGAAACAAATAAACTTACTTGTTACTAAGTTCTTTTAACGAAAAATAGTCTTAAATATGATAATGAGTGGAAGAATCCAAAGCTAAACTAAAATCCTGTTCACCACTAGAAAAATGAATAACACCTAACACTAGTCTCGGTCGCATTAAATGCTAAATTCTGTGTGATGGTGATAGTTTTGACTGACCGACTACTACATATCATAAAGCAGCACAAAAAGCTAGAGATGAAAAATTCAAAGAAACTACAGTAAAAAGAAACGTACGCAAGACGAAATAATTATATGCAGAACGATGAGGATTTAATGTATCCAAGAGATCACAAGGGGGGGAATACATCTGTGCTATCGAGGACAGTTTCGAGCCAAATCACCAATAGTCTCCATCAGTTAGTTCTAAGCATCCTGAGGACCCAAATCAGGCAGTTTACATTTCCCTGTGTGACTCAAATCAACTGTCAAAGACTTGATGGATTGGCCCCACGTACGGCTTTTACCATCTCTAACATTTTCTAACCCAATTCTTTGCCAACAAAGGTGATAGCTTGGCTTGCATAACACGTGTCTTAACCATATGAATGGATGCAACTCCACAAGCTCATTGATTTATTTCCCCCCCCCCCCACATACTGAGATTCAAATTAGTTTCACACAAAACATGAAAAAAATGATTTAGAACTAGTGTGTTTCGAATTCAGTATTATTAGTAAAACAGTAGTTAAAACTTTAAAAATACTGTTTTCTTTAAGTGTCAACGTAAATACTATCATAATGAAGTTCAGTGGATGGAACACCATGCAAAGATATATGAGTGAATGAACAACACTCAGAAAAGAAAGTAATTTTAATGAATGTTAATATTCTCTTGCAGCATATAGGTGGTACAGACATATACAGAAATTCATTCACCTTAATAAGAATTGAAGCTTACCCATTTAGTAGATTGAAACATTTTAATATCCAGTGGGTCACCCGATAAAACTCCATCTATTCGAGTCAAAGAATGGCATGTAGCCATACACTCAATCAAAGGTGTGTTTTCAATTTTCGACGGTTCAAATTCAGGCTTTCCAAGAATACCATCTTTGTTTGGAACAACACCCCACAGATCCAAACCGTCTTCCGTCAGTGTCCCAGTCTGAAAAATGTAAAATTTAACAAATTAGATTTTCGGGTAATGCAAGTACAGGCTTATAATTAATTTGTAGACTGGAACACTGTTTTCTAGACTACTCAGATATAAAAAATAACTCAGAAATAGAATATTACTTAATCACACACTAGTTGGCAAACAGTTCTAGTTTATTGAATGAATCACATAACTGTTTCCAGATGTGTCAAGAGGCACTATAATAGACTGGAAAATTTATAAATTATTAATTCAGAAATTCCCTACATTAAATATTGTACTATTATTTACTGTTTAGGCAGCTAGCACATTTTTGTACAGTTATTTTCAATAACAAAGAAAAATAATCAGTTCATAACCTAGATAAAAAGACGACTGATTCATTGTTACTAGGGCTGCACAATAATTACTGTTACGTCTGTTTGAAAGAGATCGTGTTAGTAATGGCTAGGTAAACAAGTCTATCATTTAATGGGAAAAAACTACAGTTGTTATCTATTACAAGTCTTCACAACGTATCTCTACAAAAATTGTTAATTACCATGTGAGCGTAAATACTTTGATTTACAGTATATCGATTTTCTTTCGTTAGCCCACCTTTTAGGGTTTATTTTGCCAACTAACTCCTAGCACCCGAAATGCTTTTCAGAGGATAAGAAAGTCAATTTTTCAATAATGAGATACAATGCATCCTCCTTAAATTGTAAGAATTCTACGAGCACGTATTATGATGTCTTAATTCTCTAAAACTTTACTCACGCAATGGAAATTCAAACTTCTCATGAAACCAATGTCTAAATTATACAAATTTAGACATTATCCAAAAGGAAAAAGCTCCTGGTGAACATTAGCAATTTCTAGACAACGTCAACAAGAGAATTATTATAAATGAAGAATGCCATAGCGAAAATAATTTTTATTTTATTCTAAAGCGCTTGGAAAACAAATAGATAAGGCTTCTCTTCCTCTGCAAGAAATTATAAGGGTGTTTGGTGTACACGGGATTTTCAGAAGCAACAAAATTATTCCTCAACTGGTGATTTTCCTCAGAAAATACAGAACTGAGTGACCAGTTTGCACAATAAAATAATTATATAGATTAAATAAGGACAATTACTGCAACGATTCAAGTGATTTTTTCTGTAATACTTATTTGCTAAACCAGTCCCATCAGTAAAAAAGTAATAAAAAGGAAACTGAGAATACAGAATCTCTAACAATAAGCTATAGAAAACAAAGTGAAGACATAACAAAATGGGTGCGATGTATAACTAATTTGTAACATAATCGAAGTGTCAAACTATTGCTGCTATAAACCAGGAATAAAGAATGACTCATATTAGAGTCTCTTCACCTTATGGCGTTATCACAGTTCCAATCAGTTCTAGACATAACAACTAAAATGTAAGGGAACCTAGAGAAACTTTTTACAGCACCCAGAGAGATGTTTAAGAACTTATGATCTTGTTTAATTATTTAAGATCACCGATTAACAAATCATCAAGCACCTAACCTTTCCTTTCTTTTCAATATGTTACATTTAAACTATGACATTTTTGTAAGAAACCAAATACAATACTAAGCGAAGATTGTCGATATAAGAAAGAAACACACTAAAAAACGTAAAAGCTAAACTTTCACAGTATGACATCACAACCCTAGATTGGACTGTGAATCTTATTATTGACTAACATTACTGAAGAATTTTAAACCAAGTCAAAATACCTGTCTAATACCTTCGAATTAACAGTGGCTTCCAGATCCTCTATAAAATACTTGAACACCCTACTAAAGTCTAAGATATGAATGAAATAATTGTTCATAACTTTATTCGATGCATTCCTTACTTTAGGCAAAGACTGCAAGTAGACGACATTTAAGCCAAGTAGTTGGCTAACAGATTATTGTGTAGGGCACTTCAGGATCTAGATGAGATTCGTCAGGTCTTAATAATATTTACTTTAGCTAAAGAACAATACCAATCATTCTGCAATAAATAATAGATGTATAATGGCACAGAGCAAATTTATTATTATTTTCTATAGGTGGCTCGTAAGGATTAGTTTTGTTTTTACGAGCTGATCACGGATTGATGTCAGTTAGAGAACCATTGAGAACCAGGGGGTACTGGACAGCTATTTCATCCTAGTTTGGGAATCATTGGCAGTACGCACCCACTGCGGCTCGAACCCAGGACCTTCCGGTAGAAGTTGGAATTCATGAGCTATCGAATCGGGTTTCAGTGACTGAATGGTATACGAGCTTGTCTTGTAACCGGAACGTCCTGGATTCGAACCCCAGTGGGTGCATACTACCGGTGATTCCCAAAGTAGGATGAAACAGCTATCCGGTACTCCCTGGTTCTCAATGGTTCTCTAACTGATATCAATCCGTGATCAACTCGTAAAAATTCATTATTAACCAATTCATCCTTTCTTCATGAATTCTGTCTACTTTTCTGAACGGTCAAATTACTATCTCGGTTTTTCAAAAGTGCGACACACTGAAGTAAGACATTTACGTGGCATTCTACTGTAATGCTATGATCTAAATTGTTACTGATGGTAAAGCAAAAAATATCATCACGTAAATAATGAATATTTGCTCTGTAATCTAAAAAGGGCCTAGTCAGAACTACAATAAAGAGAATACATAGAAGGGCAATAGTATAGTTCATAATTTTCCAGCAAACTGATTACGCTGGAGAATATAGAGAAATTTGATACACTTTACATACCTTGTCGAAACAGGTGAGATTAATGACACCACACACGTTCATAACACTTGGATTTATACAGTATATGCCATGACTTCGAAGTCGACGTTGAGCGAAAACGATTCCAACACTCATTGCCACTGGAAGGATTGGAGGTATTACGATAGTCACCAAATCCAATGGCCTCAAAATTATGTAGTATAGGTCTTTCTTATTCCAGTACTAATAAAATATAAGGGAAAAGTATTCTCAGAAAGTAGAAAATTGAGAACTACTATTTTATTATTACATGTGAAAGTCTGAAAATAAAACTGCACCCATATGTATATGCACATAGAATTAGGTGGAATGTATAGTTACATTTGTCCAAAACATATCTCCCAGCAGAAATAGTAAACATCATGACTGTAAAGTGACAGTTTATCGAAGTTGCCAGCATGTTTCCTAGGTTACTGATTTGATAAAATGAACACCAATTACCATGTTAAAAAGAATGATCTCATAAATTTGTTGGATAGTACTTCTGCTTACTAACAGTAAACAAAAATCATTTACTACTGCATACTTGAATGTATTAGAATTTTACTGCTGTTACTTTTTATCCTCATTTTCTCATACTCATATAGTACTGTTATACCCTCTTGGTTTTTAAAGTAAAGTCTCATACTTAAAAAATAGTCTTATCTACAATCAATACAAATATTGGAATGCGTAAGTTATTAAGTAAGGAATTAATAACTTCAGACTAATAATGATCATCGTACAACTGATTTGACTAGAAATACACAAACCCACTAACAGTTGCCTAATTATTTTTTATGACAGGTGAATATAAATCGTGATAACTGTAGTGCAGTGATAACCTGATCTTGTAGAACGCCAGACACCTAGATCTTCAGTCCACCTTTAGTCATTATTCATTATATAAAAAATAGATTGACAACCCAAGACTGTCCTAGACAGTCAGAACATCAGAAAGTCTGATAATCTATTTTACAGATACATTTTGAAAAGCGTTACATATCATTCAATGTAGTTTATTACCAAAATATCGGTCTAGTAAATGCGATGGTAGAAATAAGAGATAGAAGGGCTAAAAAATAAAACTATACACGCCAACTCACCATTAAGTATACGGAAACAACGAGACCAACAAGCGCCACTGCACAAAGAGCTCCTAAGAATTGATATGCATCTTGAGTAAATTTGAATTTCATAGGCTTAGGGAACATAATAGACCGTACGAGTTCACCTTTAGTAGTCATAAATCCTGTTCGGATGACTACAGCCAAGACACGTTTGTTGATATCCCCACGTGTTTGAATTATAGATGTTCCACTAAATAGGATATGTCGTGCAGAGGAACGAAAGTCAAATGGTACGTTCTTGTATTGTGAACTAGGTAAAGGGATTTTCGTAATTGGAACACTCTCACCTAGTTTCGGAGAAAAAGGTATATTACAGAATATTTTAAAAATACAAATCAACTTGCATATTTTAACGAATTTACTCTGAACCATTTACAATGAGTTCTGTTTTAAATGTATTTAAACAAAAATACGAAACAAATAATAACGTTAGGCATGCAGACACCTTGCTGACAGCTAAAATCACTTCTCCACATTTTCTCACATTACCGTAATATTATCATTATTGTAACAATACTGATAATAATATTAATTCTCGCTTAATCTTTCCCACCAATTTCTTGCTAGAAATTTAAATGCCAAAGTAGTAACTGGCTTCCAAATCTGTCTGTTGAGTTAGACGAAAGCAAATCAATACGTGATCTGGAGATCATTATCAAACAAGAGAAATTGACATCAAACAGGTGAAGGATTAATCGCAGTTAATAATATTCTGAAAACACCATAAATTACCAAAATATCTGTCTTCAATTGTTGTTTAAGTAATATATGCTGTTTGTTTGATCTAGATGAAATTTTGTGAACATTAACAGCAGCAAAATTATTATTCTGGTCAATATAAGACTCCACCCAGTAAGATACGATCCTTTGCACAGTAGATTAAAGGTTCGCACTGTGTCGTTAGGTCAGATCAGTTGAAATCAATACAAAAGGTTCATTTTATTGTACCCAGATAAGATTGTCGAACTGTGATATGTCATAAGTGAACATTAAGCCACTGACATAGCCATCATGTCGAAACAGACATTGAAGCAAAGACCTAGTAATTGGCATATCTTATCAAAAATCTACATATCAATTAGGTTTTGTCGGAAGTATACTGGAATAAACTAAAGTTTATGATATATAATATATGCATTCCCACTACTACTAATACTTCTACTACTATTACCAACCCTGTTTATAATGAAAATGTGCTGATGACAAACTATCCTCAAAACAAGATTCATTCTGAAACTTCAAGAGTAAATAAGATCAAAATATTTCGAATGGATGACAGATCGTGTGAACCAAAATGATTCTGACTTTACACCTTGTAAATTTAAATATGATCAATTTAAAGACATACCAGTCAGGCTACTTTCATTTACAATACAATTGCCCATTAACAAAACTGCATCACATTGCATCAGACATCCACTACTTGGAATCGCAATTAAATCACCTGGTACCAATTCGGTTGAGTCGACTAATTCAAAATCTGATTATTTAAAAATAAGAAATAAAACAAAATGTTTTATTTTTACTTCGAAATTAAAAATTTACTGATAGTAAAATAGATAACTGGTATATGTAGCTTTTCCTCCTCCGTTTGGCAGTAAAAGAACAGCAGATTACTTCCAGTATAGCGCAGCTAAAACTAACAGCATCTGTTCCCTAAAACTGCTCTTCCCAGTAAAATAGTGTGCATTTAAGAATAATAGTGCTGTTCATAAACTTTCAAGTACCAAACCATTTGAAGAGATCGGACAACATTAAGCTAGCATATATTTATGCGGTATTCTCGTGACTGATATCTAAATGCTGGAATGAATTACGTCGCACAAATAAGCAGTGAAAGAATTTAAACGGTAGCTTGGAATATCACCTTTTTTGTTTCTATGACTATTCCTTTCGGTTTACCATGATTGCATGTTTTGCTGAATCTGAAAGTGACAGAATAACTATAAAACTTAAAAACATTTGAACGCATTAAGGATATACATCGGAAGAGATATGTGTACTTATTTATCCTAACAACTCCATAATTAAAATCCATCACGTTCGCCAGCTACACAACAAGACCAACAATGTTTTCATAAGAGCTGTCCTATGGTGAAGTTAATTAAAATAGCAAAACCACATATTCTTATTTGAGTGTCGAATATGATAGTAAACCTTGACTGTGTCAGGATTAGCTCACTACCCACCTTATTCGACGAAATGTGTTACACAGAATGCTTAACTGCGTTTCCGTCATCATATCAACTGCCACCTAGCCGAACTTTATTAAAGTTTAAATCATGCAAACAACTGGAATCAGTCCTATAGCCAATCAATTTCCTTCAAATCAACACTTAATAATTAAAGGCAACAACCTAAAAACGAACAGCTCGAATGTTGTTGTGACAAAAATTTTACGGCCATAACAATGAAAACTTCCGAATGTGGTGTTGTGTGTATAGGTTTTATAAGTACAACTATGAGAATGCGAGCATATATGTCAGGCTAAACATTCTTCATCCTAACCTTTAACAATCAGGTTCAGATTACGAGTACTTTAAAACACACATAGGAAAAGTATTTAAGCATGACCGACTTCAAATACGACTCATTCAACAATTAGCTATCAGTTGATTTCACGCAGGCCCACAAAAAGATATTGGCAGACACTATGGTTTGCAGATTCCAAAATATACTGTAAAAAATGGTGGTTTTGGTCGTAAATGTTATCGTTAGAGACGCCTGAATCACAACAAATGCGTGCAGGCTAAAATGAAAATTTCGACCACTTGTCTTAGGGATAATAAGGCAGGAAATGGATGACGAAAGACACCATACGTATCGTGTTAAATCAGATAATTTCTTCATAAATTACTCTGAGGTCGAAACTTCGACTCCTTCAACACAGACGTTAAACATGTTAAGTGCTGATTGTACAGTAATTTAGTAGAGAGTAACATGGAATTAATATCTCATTTGTAATAATCAAAGCTACTACAGCTATTGCTACTTTTTATGTTGTAACATAAGTATGATGTGAGGTGGTGTACTTGGTATTTTGAAGGTTACAGTTATCCAGTAACTTATTTTCAGTCATGAAAACTGCTTTATTATTGGAAGAAAAATGCTTTGCATAGTTCAAGTAAGCATGGTCGATAAAATGTTTCGCGAAAAAATGTATGACCTCTTAAAAACAAAGAATAACTGTCTTCCACAGGATTAAATATAAACCATAAATAATATATAACATTCCATTGAAATTTAAAGTTATGGAGTATAGCACAAAGTTTTTCAATTTTTTGTGCCAAATATATAAATTGTCACGTTTTCAAATGACTCTGTCTGTAAAACAGAATCGATTAAGGTCTAACTTTACTTAGAACTTGAATTTAAGGAACCCTTTTATGACTTTTAGCATTTACAGCCTAACTTAGAACTGTGCACCAAAACATAACACATGAAGTCAAATGCCTTACGTAACACAGTTACCAATCGGTTGGTAACTTTTTTACAACAGTAGATTAAGACAGCAGACCGTGCCTACGTAGAGTTGCCTTTATTAAGTGTAGCTAAGATGTATTTCATATTTTATTAATGATTAGGTTTTATTACGCGCACCAATAGAAATGACTCTTCACCATGACTATTTTTCTGCAGTTATTTCTCGGTAAGGTAAATAAATACTTGAACCAAATGAAAAGGTTACTTTCATGTGACCATTAAAAGTGTCGGTGAAATAAATAAGCATAGTAACGTCCCGCTGCTCAAATACCAGGAGTTAGTCCTCATTCACTTGTGCAAAAACATTCATAACAATTTGACTATAAGGAATTATATAATATATATATATATATATTTGATGGGCAAAACTATGCTGAAAAGCAAAGAGCTTAGTATGCTAAGCTGGACTAGTTAGTAAGCCTTTTACCTCGCGATTGCAGAAAAAGATACAAAGAAAAATGAGTTCTGTGCATGTTTTAAAATTAGTTGATAGAATGACTGATGTACACCTTGTTAAGTAGTAAAATATAGATAGTGAGGAAAATGAAATGACTTTAATATTTAAATCATAAAATAGGAACCATGCAAGTTATATCTACTTACCTTCCTCACCACCACAGCGTCTGCAAACACTGACTTTAGAAGAAATGCAAACAGTTTCCTTCAACGCACGTTCATTCTGCATAATTAATGGATAATAAAGGATGCTTATTATTGCCGTTTATTGATAAAGATTGTCTGATCATTAAAACTACTGACATCATAAAAACTTAAGATTTTAAAGGATTAAGTGAGTAAGAGTTACCTAAATGGTTCACAGAAATTTCAGATTACATTCCACGAAGATGTATTTTATTCAGAAACCTATTATTACTGATGAACACTCTCTATGCATATTTGGAAACCTGAGGTAGTGTATTTTTCCAATTGTATATAATTATTTGGATATTGATTTGTCCATAAATAATGCATATTGTCCAAGCGGCTTTTATATCAATTTTGGGTGACCCTGGGACTAATTGGAAGAAACGAAGAACTGATCAGCCCACAAGATGACTCCATGTGATGAAAGGTAGTTGTGTTGAAATAGTGTAGGTTGATTAATCACAACTTTTTTGATGGGATCTGAAGGATCTTGTAATTCAGCGAGTTGAGGAGTTATAAGATACAGTTCAAAATCGAAACCAGTGGCAGTTATGCTGGAGCTTTCTTGTTCCTTCTACTATTGATAAGTAAAACAAAAGTGACAAACATTTTCTCTCATGTAACCTATTAAAATGCTTATTCGATCATTTTGTTGGTATATCACTCTCTTATCCTTCATTTTTCTCCTCATATTGTTGTTAAATTACTTTGTGTAGTGTATTTCTTGGTGCCATGGTGTACCAGGTTTATGCTTTGAATAAAACAAATAATAACAGTATGAAAATTTCATTAAGTATTGTAAAATAAACGATGAAAACTTATTTCATTCGATAAACATTCACCAAGTACTGACTGTAACACAGTCATGCATAAATTATTTTAAAATGGTAACTTCCATGTAGATTTTCAGACACAATATGCATCTTCTCAAGCTGAAATCAAGCGTGTTCAACTTCGAAAGTGAGACTCATAAAAATAATGAATTCCTACAGGAACTAATGAGTATTTTACACACAGTTTTAATGAATTGCAAAATCACCATAATGCGCCAATGTTTGACTATTTCTCTCGAAATTTTGTTGCTATTCGTTTGTCTATATTTTGCTTATTTGGTTGTTTATTTCTTTCTGTGTGGTATCACAAACTGCAGTAGTGAATCTCAGTAATTTGATGAGTGAACTCGCTAAATTTCAGAAAATCCAACACTGACTTAAAAGGTAAAGTGAAAACAGTCAGTCTAAAGTTTCACCCAGTTTCATGTGAAAGTAGTTTGTACGACTTTCACACAAAATCACGCCAATTTTCAGAAGATAAGTGTGCAAACTATTATTCAGTAACAGAATTTTTATTTCTTTGCCTAACGACTATTCACTATGTTCGAATCAAATTTTCGAATGCATAAACTTAGTCACTATGACCGTTAAAGTCAGAAATAGAGCTAAACGTTTTGCTCACATTTAGTAATAATCACTTCCTACATACATTATCAATTTACTACTGTTCATAAATAAAAACCTACTTAGTGTGTCCTACACTTTCTAGTTGATTATTCATGCTAATGCTATTCACTAGATTTCAGAAATACCTCATTCATTCTAAATTTATCAAGTGCATTTTTAAGATTGTGTAATTTACTCAGAACTAGCATTTAAAATAAATTATTAACCTACCATCTAACATTTAAAGAAGAAAGAGCTTAGCTATAATGCATTCTAATGAGCAGCCTGACTAGCTTCAAAAACCGAAACACATGATTCAAAACCAATATCGAATTTAATCCACAGCTTACGAATAAACTGCATTATATATTTCTCACAGTAATTATGTTTGCACTGGTGGCTATTATGAAGCACATGACCATGGTGCTACCTAACCGTCCGAATCTCGGTTAAGGTTCAAATCACAGACCTCTAATTTGAATCAGAGTGTTCATTTTAACGAACCGCAGTTCTACACTGAGCGCATCAAACATGATTCGAACTTGAAAAAGTTAAGGTAAATATGTTAGTAAGCTTTAAGTGTGGCAACTATAATGTGTGGGAATGAAAATGAATCCATAAAATGCAGCAGGAAGTTTATAAAAACTAAAGGATTAGAAATAAACAAGATTACCCCATTCATTTTTATTTAAGTACACTCAATGAAGCCTTCGGAAACACTAAGAGTCAGTACAACAGCTAATATAGAATCATCGTCTGATACCTAATTCAACCAATGTACTGCTGAATAACTCTAAAACTGATCTTATATACATATAAGAAGTACCCATTTGCTGCATAAAATGCAGGAAATTTCGTAGAAAGTAAGGAATGATTATTATGATACTAAAAGATGTGGCCCGTAAATTCAAACAAAGCAAAGTAAAAATAGCCTGTTTTATATCGTTACTGTTTTTTAAACAGTTAACGTTAATATCACATAAAAACCAGTGTAGTCTACACAGTTCACACAATGACAACCCATTAAATAATTTGCAGAGAACTAATTTACGGTTCTAAGTTCATCTTTCAAAACTTTAAAACAAAATATTACGTTTTTAAAATAGCCAGAATTGAGAAACACTTCTACTATGGTAATTTTCGTTTTAATATCTCCATCTGCATTGTAAGTCTCCACATAGTAGATTGGTAGAGAAATTAAAAAGACTAAGTTTTCTCAAGTCCTCAAAGGGAAAACAGCGTATTTCTGGCGATTCAATAAAAAAAGCCGTCACTATATAAGAACCTTAAAATATGCATTCAGTAGGACGTAAGTGTTAAACAATTGCATATTTAATTGCTTCTCTGCAAATACATATTACATGTGATGATAAGTGGCAACGGCAAATTTCACCATGAAATGCAACGTTATCCTAAGCAACTGTCGGAAATAATAAAATAAATAAATGAAATAGCTCACAATTAATACATATATATAATGTGCAAAAGGGGTATATTACACGTTTCTTACTTTACGAAGCTCGTAAACTTGAAATATGAGTGAAGTTACGGAAAAAACAGCAATACAAGTGGCATATATTTCGTATTCGACGCAAAACCAAATTGCACAGCTGAATACTTGAAAACAGTGGAAGGGAGTAAGGCACTAAGAAAGAGCAATAAAATAAAGTGAAATAAAAAAACTGTTATTTCCCAGTGGTAACATCGAAATTTAGAATTCTGGGATACTAAAGTCGTGATGATTGCTAGATTTAGTAGCCACAACTCATACACGAAATGCGTTAATTTTTAAGCCTGACTGTCATACAAAATAACTTTTACACGTTTGATTTTGATTAATTCACATAAAGTACTATGCCCAACTTCAGCAGGACCACTGAATCATTTCATAAAAACATCGTATGAGTGTGAAATATTTAGGCTTAGAATAGTGTCCAATACATGTCTAATTCGCTCGCCACAACTCGAAGTATACTAACAATTTCGCGGATCCTTCCACATATTGAAATAGTTTTTGTCAGTTTATGGCAAGCTACAAGTTATCAGTACCACCTGATTAATAGTACGCCCAAGGACTCCATTCGAGCGTAATACTTATTACAGACAACTGATTCAATACATTCAGTGATATTAATATGAGTTATTATAACCAAGTTTCAGTAAAGCATCACAGAAGGCTTGAGTTTAGGTTATCTTTAAAGGAAGAAATTTTCAAACTAAGTAAAGCCACAGATAACTTAAAATACCTTACAAATGATGATGCCAATAATCATCAAAGGCAACTTACCCCATTCAAAACAAGCCTTACGATAGGAGTAAGACTGACATCAATTTTATTAATTCCATACAAATCTCGGCGGGTTTCGATCAATTCCGAGTCCAGAGCCTGTGCGTTTAGAATTTCATCATACGAACGTTCATCCCAGTTCCTGTGATATAAGAAGAACCAGAAAATTAATGTCACTATCAGCATTGAGATGTACTTTAACCTCATGCAATAACTAACTACCATTTTTCAAGAACCTTGTGATAAAAGCAGGTCATCTTACATTAGCTTGGTACTTGTTTACATGAATCTTAAATTTGAAGACAGCTTACAAGAGGTTATTAAAATGTCAATATATTAAGGGCACAAAAGTAGCAAAACGATCGAGATGCCAGCATTGTGATAGTGCTTGCTGTGCAAATGATAATGTTACAGGACTGTTCATCAGGCACTTAGTTTATCAAACAACTAATTTGAAGAATGTCTGAGGAAGAGTGTTTATCATGAATAGATAGACTATTAAATTATAGCAAATGGTGACCGGTGAACTCGAATATCTTTCTATTCACAACAAGCACTGAATAATGCAGCCATCAGGAAAAGTCGACAGTCATTTAAAGGTACAACTCGAAATTTAGTTGTATTCTCTGGTATATATCCGATCTATGCACACATTAAGATCTCTGCTTACAACCTTGAAGTGATTCATTTCAGCAAGTCAAGAATACTCAAGAAGTCATCAGTCAATTATGGCACACGTCTAATTAAACTCGCCCTACTATATAGGTTAAATGAATGCAATAAACTTACTGTAGTACTTCAAATTGTTCGTTCTCGAAATTCCAAATATACTTTAATTTTTTATGTATAAAGTATGGGTGCTTTGTCTGGTCTTCAAGAGTCAATGAAGACGTTACAGAAGAGTTATCCAGAGACCTAACGGAAAAGACAGATGGAAGACTTACAAGAAGAAAACCCCAACGTCGCATTGCGAAAATAAAGAAAGTCAATATGAACCTAACCTTGGGCTTTCTGATGAAGGATACACAATATTATGTATAAATACACCTGAAATATCCTTGGAGAGGAAGAATACAATATTATAAAAAGTATATTCCAACCTTGATTTTCACCTTGTGAGCCTCATGGAGTTCCGAACTTTTATGAGTGCACCACAGCATCCATTGGGGAAACCAGTGAAACAATAACCGCAAAAGGCCACCCGTCAAAACGCAGCCAGCTACCATAAACGCATACCGCACATGAGAAAATTGATATCCTTCTATATCCTTCGGAAGTGTAAATTTAAAAATCTAAACATACTGATGTACATCCTTCACACGAAATTTTTTGGGTTTCAGATTTAGCAGGACGCTTCCAAAAAGCAAAAACCATAACAGCTTCGCGCAGTAACAAAAAATAAGTTCAAATGCCTCCAACTTATGGCAATTAGAACAACCTAGATAATTTAAACTGTCAACGTTTAAAGGTGTTTCATAAGATATTTCCTCCACAATAGGATCCTTACCTTAAGAAATTTTGCCGTGGAAAGAATGATATAATAAGCTTTTGAACTCGTTCATATTACTGAATTTTCGAAAATTCCGTGAAAACTGCAGCAGAATGCAGTACCGTTGTAACGAGCATGGAGTTATTCCTTTGATGTCAAATCTACACAGTGTTTTATAACAGTGCTAGATCTGCGGTACATAGCTACGTAGAAGATCTGCCTTCTTGACAGTTTTCGCTCAAATGAATACATTAAGAATAAGGAGTCCGTTTATTATAATTGCAATATATGGTTTCTTTCGGTATAGTCTCGATTCATCTGTCGACCCTCTAGATGAGCTCTAAAAACAACGTAGATTTGATCCAAACAGTGAGTATAAAATACAAAAGAAAAACCGTATGGAGGACAGATAAGATACAAAATAAAAGAAAACGAGAAACCATGGCGATGATGAAGTCCGGAGAGATGTAGGGAGTAGAAATTAAGTAAACGAATCAAAAGTTTATGATGCTTTCAGTGCCGGCAAACTCTCTTCGATCTGGGAAGCTTCCCCGGTAGTTTTACCTATTCCGACTGTTGGCACATTTTCAGGGCTCACCTTGAATCTATCGGCTCACAAGGAAGATGTCAAGTGAGGAGGTGGGAAATTCCATAAGTAACAAATTGGAAGAGAAAATACATAGGCTGAGCTTTATTCAGAGCTTCCTGATGGTAAATCTTCGGGTTTGCCCTTCGGTCTCCACAGTGCTCTTTCCGTAATAAATACAGTCAATGTTGCAGACCACTGATGACTTGATTCTTTATTCTCTCGACTTCCTGTAGAAGATTAGCTAATCTCCACGGAAGTGGTGGTCCAGCTTCATCATCGTCATCGACTTCCCAGCATCAGCACGCACAAGTTTTGCACAACCACATGAACAGATTGCGTCAAAATGCACTTAGCTATCTGTGGTTGCAGTGGAGGGGTGTGATAGTTTAATCTGGTCTTCTCCACAGTGGTTGCCTGTGGCCAGTCTTTTCGTCAGAATTGGCCCAAGATGACACTGTGTCTGCACTTAGAAGAGACTGGTCTCACCCTGACATTAATCGTTAGTTAAATAACCTCCTGTTTGAATATTCCTCAGAATGAATCCCATAAAAACTTTGTATACATTTCTCATCTTTTCTATATTATTTGAGTGGCTGCAAAGAGTTTCAGACGAACCAAGAGCGCCATATGGCCTTCAGTTTATTAACTAAGACCACACAGCTCCCTGTCGTGACGATCATTTGACTAACGATGAAGACGAATTCGCCGAACCCTCCACCATGAAGAAGCTGTGAGTCGATGTGCAAGTTAGATGGAAAACATGCTACTAGGTAGTTCAGATTTTACTTTTTCGTTGAGAAGCTTCCCTACGTGCCAATGGCTTCGCGTCGTAAAAGATTCAGTTGGATCAATAGTTTGAGGGGACTGCCAGGAATCCTTGGACCTAGATTTTGTGCTTGTTGGCACATGTGCTATCTTGAGGAAAAACATATGCCCACTCCGAATTTTCGACGCTGGTCCGTCAGTGATACAGTCAGAGAATTCCCACTCAGCTATTCCGGTTTGCTATTATCCTTTTCTGAGATGAAATATGTGATTGTAGTCTGGTAAGAAGAGAGTTGCCTCCAATTATCTACTTAAAATTCATAGTGCACCGAGATGGCAGGTCATCCTAGCAGGGTGGCCACCGCGAAAACCTGATAGTGGAATTCGGTCTGCATTAAACGAAGAAATGAATGCATGATATTAGTTGGTACCTAATGTCCCGCCGAAAATAAGGCAGATATTTTAAACCTTAGTCTCAAACCACCGAAATGAACTGCCTCTTATTTCCTTTGCAATCCGCACATATATGGACTTTTCCAAAGCTCTGTATCAAGTTGTTTCTAATCAGGCGCTATCTGGACATGTATGGTGGTGACTGTTTACAGTGACCGTTTGGCACATTTCCTTCTGGTTTTCAGAGAAGTAACCGTAAAGTCGTGTCCTCATTACTAGTGTGGTTGGTTAGCAAACCTTTAATGAGTCTGTTTTGTGTTGAACTAATTGATAGAAACTCCTGGTTTTGCTGCTATGACTGGCTTTTTCTCATGTAGCAAGAAGGACTATTAATTCGGGGACTGTATTGCAGGTAAGTGCCACTATTCGGTGTTTGATTTTTTCACTCGAACCGATTAAATAAGTTTAAATCCCAGTTATTCATGTGGATATTGTTTTAAACCTATTTTTCCGCTGATTCTCAAAAGGATGCCTCAAGATTTTGTTGAATACTAACTGTTTTATTGTTGTGGCTGATTTGATTTTGCGCCTTGTTTGCAGACAGTTCAAATGATGACTTCCAGTGTAAAATGTTTCCGTTGAGCTCCAACGGCGAAATGAACACACTGTTCTTCCTTCAAGTGGTTAGTTACTAAGCATGTCCGGATTTGAAATTTTCATAGGCTATCATCATTTACAATATAAAGTACTCTAAGTCTATCTGCTTCATATACCCAGTGTTGAGAGTAAATACGTAAAATTTGCTTCAGCCTGTATTAAATCTTTGAGTCGGCCTTCTCATAGTGGCTGATAATTAAACTATGAAGTTTATATGGTTTGCTAAGAAGACGACATACAACCTTCAGTGGTTGGGTATTCTTAGTCTGCGCATCAGTCACAAAGAAACTCAGTATTCTGACAGTGACATGCCGAAGATCGAAGATTCTGAGTAGCATTGTCTGACACTAACCTGCGGTACCAGAATTCTAATCGACATTCAGCCTATCAGTGAATTTTCTCACCCTAAAACAGTGCCTGCTATTTCTAGGAGTTATAATTGTTTGATAATTCTTGTTGACACATATTTTCCCTCCGTAATGTGAACAAAACTTCCAGAGAATCATGGGTTTTTATTGGTTGTGATGAAAACTTGTTAGTACCCAGAGGCTTGTTACACCACTTGTGTGGTTTCCACCTTGTTTCTGACTTTGACAATATGGGTGAACGCTATAGCCGTTATTAAGTCGAAATACTTCTACTTGTACATTCTGATGTGCTTTTTGGAGTTGGGTTGTTATAAACATCTTCCATCGTTCTGTTTGGCTTGAATCCTCTGGAAGTGACTAGGTGTAGCATCTTGCACTACATGACGCTGTGTCACTTAAGCAATGAAATTGCAACAGACCATATGTGACTAAACGAAGTTGAAGTCCCGTTCGCTTGTAAGGAGCTCAGATTTCATCCCCTATCGATATTATTGCTAATCTTTTCATGTAAAAATATTTTACTGACACTTTCATCATACTTATGCGAAACATTTAGCAGTCACTTAAGTAATCTATCAATCAGAAGGCCATCTACTGAGATCACATGGCTTTATTGTCTCCAGGCTAACATCACCGTCGTTAAATTGATTGAATTTCAAACCCATCTACCCAAACTCAACTCTTACCTAATCTCTATAACTACTCAATAGATGGCTGAAGGTACCTGATTGGTTCACTTAATTTTGCGATACTTCAACATTCTCAGTGAATTTACCCATCTTAACTACCGAAGAATAAGGAAAAGGATCCAAAACATTTACTCTTAAATGTGCTTTTTGACACAATTCAGAGGTCTTGTAGACTTATTTGACGTGTCTTTGAAGGCACAGGATAACCTTTGGAATATGCGCATGTCGCTTTATCAACGGAATCTGGTGAACATGATAAGTGCTATCTTTCAATTCTTCCACGTACTCGTGCCACCAGGCGATTATATGGCATATCACCTATTTGTAGTGGTGCTACCAGCTTCACCTTGTCGGTGTTTGCGCGGTTTAAATGATTCGAGTTATGGCTGGTCGTTTAGGCAAATGCAGTTGATGTGATTTTGGTACTGATTTTGCTCTTGTTGAGTGGATTTATCTGAAAATTGTTGTTTGATAGTGTTCTTAAACAGGGACGTATTGTTTATATGGCAGGAGGCTTAAATATATAGTTCATGCGATGATTATTTGGAATGCAATGTATGCTTCGCGTACAATTCGACGACTGGCTTTCGAAAAATCTCTTTGCAGCTTGCTGGCAGCCCGTGTTTGGCTGTAAATTCTGTGATCAGCTGATGTGCAGTACCTATTTTTTGTTGTGGGAACCGAAGAATATATATTTAAATGTACAGTACTGTAATAGTTATAATATAAAAACATGGAAGTATGCAATGAATGAATGCAGACATGCAGGTTGCTCACCGCAGTGAAAATACAAACTGTGAATTCAACCGCTTCTTTTCCAACATGGATTCCAATCTATGGTGAGAAGGCCCATTAGAATTTATTCTGAAATTAAAGAGCGTACTTCACTGATTACTTATTTAGAAAAGCATATTAGTTAGTTTTATGTATTGCAAATGACTCAGTTTCAATGTAACTCAGTTAAGCAAAGTCAAATGTCATTGGTATAAGAAGTGGATATGAATCACTCCCACCAGTTGATTTCTAGCCAATGGACGCTTTTTTCAGTGCCCTAAATATTCTGCAGTGTGCCCGAAGTCATTGCTAGCTAGATATGGTTGATATCGAATTCGTGCTTCTGAACTTTTGTGTTTTTTGATTGCTGAAAGTAAATGGAACCCATTAATACAAGCAAAAATTGGTGTTCATGTATGGGCGAAAACTGCAATATGTTTTACGAACATTTGCAACATTAGCTATTTTCTGCCAAAAGATATAACTGAGTTAAATGCACACTACAACACATTCTAGTACTTAAACATTGGCGTGATCAGGTACGTACAGATTTCTAAGATGTGTGCCATTTTGTCCTATTATTGAGTTCGCTTTCATAAACTTCCCGCAGTTGCTATTAACCTGAGGCTACATTATGCGCGTCTGTATAACGACAATCCATAGTGTTATCTTGGAATCATGTAGACGTGGTGTCAGACATCTATTAAAGCTATGGACGCAAGGTTTAG